TTAACATCATAGAGGTAGGATTCACAGCACATAGGAAAATCATATCACATGACAAAATGGTGGACAGTCACACAATACTGGGAATCATGGCCTAGCCAAGTTGACACGCATTTTTGGGGGGACACAATTCAATCCATAACAGGCAATATTGTTATTATTTTTTTACTGTGGGTCCCAACCAAAAAAAAAAAAAATCTGAGAAACACTGATCTAAAGAACACTGGGAAAGTGGGTGGAGTAATCAAGACCTGTGTGCTAACCTAGTTCTTGCAATATGTAACCTGGGCAAGCTATGTGAGCATTCTGAGCTTCTTATTTTCTTATCAGGAAATTGGGAATGATAATATCTGTCTTGCTTACCTTTCAGGTTGGTTGTGAGAATCAAAACAGATAAAGTATTTGAAAGCACTTTGTAATTGTACAGCATTTATTTATTTAACAGTGTCTGCCAAGTACCAGGTGCTATGCTGGGTATTGTGTTTGTTTTGAAGGGTAACCGTAATCCCTGTACCGTGGGGGAAAGAGGCAAGTACTCTCAGTGTGACGGTTGTGTGCAGAGTGTTGTGGCTGTAAATAGGAAGGCATTCCTGGAGAGGGTCAGGGTGGCACTTGAGTAGAATTTTGAATGATAGTAATAAATTGTGGTACAGGGACAAGACATTCAAGGTTTACTCTTCCTAAAGGTGACTGTATTTGTTTTCTAATGTTGTGTAACAAATTACCACAAACTTAGTGGCTTAAAATAACACCCATTTATTATTTCACAGCTCTATAGGTCAGAAGTCTGACATGGAGTGACTGGGTTCTCTGTTCAGTGTCTCACAACACTAAAATCAAGGTGTCGTCTGGGGTATGTTCTTATCTGCAGCTCAGGGTCCTCTTCTAAGCTCATGTGGTCATGGGAGAATTCAGTTCCTTGTGGTTGTATGACTGAGGCCTTCATTTCTTCCTGATTGACTTAGACTCACTGCCCCATAAACAAGTCATCTCTGTTTTAGAGTTACTGTTGTCCTTTTGATCTTGAAAAGAATACTGGGTTAGTGACTTTTCTGAGTTCTAACTTCTGTACTTATAAGGGCTGTTTATTGAAAAAAGGTTATTAAACTTTGCCATATTTTCTAGATGCTCTTCCCCTGCCCCCCACAAGTAGACTATTCCTTTTGGTTTCTACTTTTTTTTTTTAAATTTTTAATTTTTATTGTACTTCATGTGGAGTCTTACAGAACAAATAGTTTCTCATGAAACAGTAGTACACATGTTGTTTTATGACATTGGTTAATAACCTCACAACATATCAACCCTCTGACTTCTCAACCTTTTTTTTTCGGTGAAAATACACATAGCCAAAGATACACCATTTCAAAAATTTCTACATGCACAGTTCAGTGACATCGACTATGCTCTTCCAATTGTGCTGCTATGCTCACTTAAGATGAAGGCTTACAGAACAAAATAGTTTCTCATTTAACAGTTACTACAAATGTTGCCCTATGACAATGGTTAACAATCTCACAACACATCAACAATATCCTTACTCAACCTTGGGTTCCCTACCAGCTTCCTTGTCCCCTTCTGCCTTCTGGCCCTTGTCACTGGACTCCTGTACCTCGTTAGTCTCATTTGGTTTTACGGGGCTGTCCACTCCCAGGCTGAACAGTGAACCTCGGAGGCAGCTTCACCACTGAGCTAAAAGGATCTCTGGGGGCCGTACTCTCGAGGTTTCTCCAGTCTCCTTTAGACCAGTAAATCTGACCTTTTTTTTGTGAGTTAGAATTATGCTCTACATCCTTCTCCAGCTCTGTCCAGAACCCTCTGTTGTGATCCTGGTCAGAGCAGTGAGTGGTGGTAGCCGGGCACCATCTAGCTGTCCTGGACTTAGTCCGGTGGAGGCCTTGGTAGCTGTGGACAATTAGTCCTTCAGACTAATCTTTTCCTTGTATCCTGTTCTCTTCATTCTCCCTTGCTCCTGAAGGGATGAGACCAATGGAGTATCTTAGATGGCTGCTCACAGGCTTTTAAGACCCCAGACACTACTCACCAAGGTAGAATGTAGAGCATTGTCTTTATAAGCTGTGTCATGCCAATTGAGCTGGATGTTCCCCGAGACCATGGTCCTCAGAGCCCTCCGCCCAGCAGTTCAGTCCCTCAGGGAGTTTGGATCTGTCCATGGGGCCTCCATGACCTTTCCTTGTCCAAGTTGTGCTAGTTTCCCCTGTATTGTGTACTGTCTCACCCTTCACCCAAGATACCACTTATCTATTGCCTATTTAGTATTTCCCCCTGGTTTCTACTTTTGATATAAACATCTCTTTCCCATTCAGAGATTATAGAAATAGACTTTTGTATTTTCTTTTAGTACTTCTCTTTTTTGTGTGTGACATTCAGATTTTTAATATAGCTTAAGTATTAAGTAGAGGGCAGTGGTGGTTCCATGCAGGAGACCCTGGTTTGATTCCCTACCAAAGCAACTAAAGTGTCAGTGGAGGCTTGTGTGTTGTTGTGATGCTGAACAGATTTCAGTGGAACTTCCAGACTAAGATAGACTAGGAATGAAGGCCTGGCAATCTGCTTCTGAAAATCAGCCCGTTAAAACCCTATGTGCATGGGGTCGCCATGAGCCAGGGGCCAACTTGGTAGCAGCTAACAACAGCAGCAAGTATGAAGTAGAGATCTGATCGTTGGCAGTCAACGCCCGTGGAAACAGCGGTCAGGAAATCAAATGACGTATTGCATTGAGAAAATCTGTTGCAAAAGACCGCTTTAAAGTTTTAAAAAGCAAAGATGTACTTTTGATGATTGAGGTGCACCTGACCCAAGCCATGATCTTTTCAGTTGTCTCATATGCTTGCGAAATTTGGACAATGAAAAAGGAAGAAAGGAGAAGAATCGATGAATTTCAGTTGTGGTGTTGGCGAAGAATATTGAATATACTGTGGACTGCCAGAAGAATGAACAAATCAGAAGAAGTACAACCAGAATACTCCTTAGAAGTGAGGATGGCTAGGCTTTGGCTCGCTTATTTTGGATGTGTCATCAGAAAAGACCAATTACTAGAAAAAAAGATCTGTTGGTTAAAGTAGAGGGTCAGTGAAAACAAGGGAAGCCCTCAAAGAGATGGACTGACACAATGGCTGCCACAAGGGACTCAGATATGCTAATGATCACGAAGATGGTGCAGGCCTGGGAAGCATTTCATTCTGTTCTGCGTTAAGGTTGCCATGGGTCAGAGCTGACTCAATGGCAACTAACAACAACAGTGGATCTGATTGGTGTCTCTCCCCCTACACAGATGGCTAGTTGTCCCAACAGTGTTGAACGTCTGTCCTGATTTGAACTGTGAAGTTTGTCATAAACTAAGTATGTCTGTGTGCGTATGATGCTTCTGGGCTTTCCCTTACGTCCTGTTAACGTATTGGTCATTTCTTGGACCAGTACCACAGTATTCTAGTTGCTCATCTGTTAGAATGTCAGCTTCACACGGGTGGGGATTGTATCTAGTTACACTCAGAACAGTGATGGCGTGTGGTAAGCCCTTTGAAATACCTTTTCAATCCTTGTGACCTCTCAGTTCCAGCAGTACTCATGCAGATTTGACAGGTGTTGGTTTCCGTTTGCCCGTCATTCACTCATTTATTTAACCAGTATTTATTAAATGCCATTTATGGAGAGCTGTGCAGAATACAAAAGGGTAAGAAAACAAGACATTTATTTCCATGTGTAGATGAGTGAGAGATCTACGTTGTCAGAGGTGCAGGGAGTCTTGAAGTTTCGGGTCTATATTTTAGGGCTGTTTCTAGCTCAGAGTAGACCTCAAACTCCTAGTTTTGTTTTGGGCCCTTTCTCCTGAGGATTTTAAAAATTTTATTGTGGCAAAATATATATGACGAAAAGTTTGCAGTTTTAATCGTTTTTTAAGCCTGCAGTTCATTGACATTAATTACATTCATCATGTTGTGCAACCATCACTATTGTCTAGTTTCAGAAGTTTTTCATCACTCCAAACAGAAACTCAGTATCCCTTAAGCGATAACTCTGCCATTCCTCCTCTCCTGGCCCCTGCTAACCAGTAATAAACTTGTGTCTCTATGCATTTGCATATTCTGAATATTTTATGTAAGTGGGATTGTACAGTTATTGTCCTTTTGTGTGTGACTTATTTGATTTAGTGTAATGTTTTCAAGGTTCATCCATGACTTGGCATGTATCAGAACTTAATTTCTCTTTACGACCAAGTCGTATTCCGTTATATGGAGATGTACCGCATTTTAATTATCCATTCATCTGTTGAGGGGCACTTGGGTTGTTTCCACCTTTTGGCTATTGTGAATAATGCTGCAGTGAACATTGGTGTGTGAGTATTTGAGTCCCTCTCCTGAAGGTTTTTGTACTGCAGATTAAAGGAGCCAGGCTGCCCTTTACAGAAGTAAATGAACTGGCATCTCAGTACCCAGCTGGGGTGTACAAGGTAGGCTGAAAGCAAGGCCCTTGATTTGAGAGGTGGGGAGGTGCCCTTTACCTGTGCGCTTCACAGTGTGGAAAGTTAGAGCTGGAAGGGACCTTAAAGATTGAATTGACAACCTTTTTTTTTTTTTTTTTTAATAAACTTTTTATTTTGGAATACTTAGAATTTACAGAGAAGTTGTAAAGATAATACAAAGAGTTTCCATATATCCCTCACCCAGTGTCACTTTTCTCTAACATTGTCATCTTATGTTAATGTTGCGACCTTATTTTATATTTGAGAACACACAGCCCTCAAAAAGTTAATTTTAGCTCAGATCATAATTTTAGTTGTTGGCAGAGTCGGGCCAAGGATTCAGTAGATAGCCTGGGTCTTCTAGGTGATTGTATCTTAGTTAGCCATTTCTGCTTCTCATGTGTTTGCTCTTTTCCTTTCTTTCATTGGCTTCTTTGGGCATGAACTAAGAGAAGGACCACTTAGTACACAGTGCACTGGTCAGTGTGGTCTTTCTAACTTGTGCAATGGTTTCTTAATCTAGGCTTCCTCCAATTCTTCAACACCAACAAGAACCAGAAGCAGGACGTCTTCATTTACAGAGCAGCTTGATGAAGGTACACCCAGTAGAGAGGTAAGCTTGGAATTTCTCTAGAAAACATCTCACAGGAAACTTACTACTCTAGAATGTCATGTTACTGTTGATAATGAAATAGGAAAGTATTTTGACCGGTTAGTTATTTAATTCCTAGGTATTGTTTTTATTAATAACATAATTTTTTTTCAAATGGTTATGTTTATGTAAAGTGTGTGCGTGTGTGTGTGTGTGTTGAGAAAACCTTAATTTGAGAGTATAATATACTCAACATTTAATATTCTAAATTTTCAGAATAATTTGGTATCCTTTAATTTGTATGTTCAACATAGTATCGTATGAGAAAAAGCCCTGCTTTTTCAAGCTAGTGAATGGAAACGGAGAAATGACTTAACAGGTACTGTGTAACTAGCAGCTGGCACCATAGCTGAGATTAGGGATTTGCAACATTTGTTTTTCCTCCTGTGACCTGTAACAAAGAAACAGGAAAGTGGGTAAAGCATAAATGTGCAAATCAGAGCGTTATCTCGAAGCAAATCCTCATATAACTACTGCCCAGGTCAAGAAAAAGACCTTTGCTAGCACTTCATTCAGTCTCACTGCCTCCCTGCCTCCCTCCCTCCCTGCCTCCCTCCCTCCCTCCCTTCGTCCCTCCCTCCCTGCCTC